ATTTGAATATTCTTTTTGTCATAGACTGTGATTTAAAAGTCTTTTTAAATTCGTTAAAAAGAAGCATTCAGTGAGCTAGCCAGTAACTTTGTTTTATTTACTTGCCAAAGCACATTTTCACGCTTGGCAAGTTCTGATTTGGACCGTGTTTGCACCCGTCAGACTGATAGCTGGCTATGTCTTTCTCTCTCAGCAGAATGAGTGAAGGTTAGAAACAACAGAAGGGCTTGAGTACATAAATATGGTTTCACAATTGTCTAGTTTATGTGTTTATTCTGACAAGAGTGTGTATGTATGAGCATATGTCTCAGAAAATATTATTAATATGATCTACTTTAGTCTCACCTGACTAAAAGTGAAATCTTGGATTATTCAGTTGTTTGTGTGTTATTGTATGTGTTAATTCCGAAGTGCATGAGCGTGTATTAATTTCTTTTATTAATATCCCGCCCGTCTGTCTCTCCCAGCCGGAGGTGCAGTTGGCCGAGGATTATGACATATTTATTCCTAAAGCACAGTTGGACTCTATCTTACTGAACTACACTCGCTCTGGCAGCCTGCTCTTCAGGAAACTGGTGTGTGCGTTCTTTGATGATACCACACTGGCAAACTCACTGCCCAACGGCAAAAGGAAGAGAGGTCTGAACGACACCAGGAAAGGACTCAATCAAAACATAGTCGGAGCCATTAAAGGTTTGTGAATGTAACTAAACCAGACCAGAACTTACACAACATCAGTGTACAGGAGAACGTTATTATGAAATTACTGCCATACATATAGTGGTCCTAAAAAAGTATTTGGACACTTAAAAATGACACACTTGAAAATGTCATTGCATTAGATAATAAATAATCAAACCATGTGGTGTTTATTTAAAATATTTTATTTGTCATTCAAAATATTTCACAGGAAGATGGATGTTAAGTTTTAAGAGATAAAACTCAAACTTAAATGTTTTGAGTAAAAATCATGTAGCATTTGATTTGATATATTATTATAATAATTAATATATTAAATATATAAATACATGTTTATTTATTATTTGTGTACTTGCATTTCTTTGTAATTAATTGTGAAATTTATTATAATAGTGAAATGTGACCCTGGACCACAAAACCAGTCTTAAGTCGCTGGGGTATATTTGGAACTTCATTTGGAGAACTTTAAAGGCGATTTTCTCAATATTTAGATTTTTCAATATTTAGACACCCTCAGATTCCAAATTTTCAAATAGTTGTATCTCGGCCAAATATTGTCCTGTCCTAACAAACCATACATCAATGGAAAGCTTATATATTCAGCTTTCAGATGATGTATAAATCTCAATTTCAAAAAAATTACCCTTATGACTGGTTTTGTGGTCCAGGGTCACAAATGTATTATTTATTATAAATATTAATTTATTATTATAAATTATTATTATTATTACAAATAAATGCACACTTAAAAGACAAAAATACTTAAACACATTTTTAAGGTTTTGATTGCTTCTTTGTTGACAGATTTAAATTTTGTATCTACATTTGGTATATATTATGTATTATTTTTATTATAGAAAATATTTATTATTATTTGTGTTACTTGCGTTTCTTTGTAATTAGTGAAATGTCAAAAAAAAAAATTCAGTTTATATAAACTTTTAAATCTGTAATTTTTTACATGTATGTGTATGAATCTAGTGTTCACAGAAAAGTATTGCACAGCCAATGGAATTGAGAAGCTTCCTGGCCCCAGAGACTGGGTCCAGATTCTGCAAGACCAGATTAAACTTGCGCGTCGACGCTTAAAAAGAGGTGAGAACATGACAGAAAGAGAAATACATGCAGGGCAAGTGAAAAGAAAGAGAGGTAGTGGTGTCATACATTACCAAGGATTCGAAGTTGCAACAAAGCTGTTGCTTCATGATTGATGGTTTGCTAGATGAGTGCTATTAAAACAATGAATCGATCATTTAAATGTTAATTTAACAAATGCTTCAATGTCATAATAATTTGTTTAATTTATTTTTAATGATTTTCAGCAGAGACTGCCTCAGACAGTAGTGATATTCAGCACAAAACAGGTACTCTGACCAAACCCACACACACAGCATGAATGAAAGCGCTTCAGATTGATGAGTGTCCTTCACCTCATGATATCCCAGCGTTCTTTATTAGAATGATACATTAAATAATATGCTAAATAACTTCAGAGGACACATTCCATTGGAATATTATTGCCACTAGTATTTCTGTGTGCTATTTTTTTCAGAGAAATGTCAGCAAACTGTTGATAAAGTGGAAACTGTGACGCAAAATGGTACTGCAATGCACATCCTTAATATTTCACTTCTAAAAAAGTGCCATTGTTCTAAAGTAACCCTTTCTTCTCTACCGCAGGTGCTGCTTATGAGAGAACAGAATGTCTAGTGGCTATGGACACTGCCTGAGAAGAGATTGTTTTCAACAAAACGCAACCTCCGACCCCCGCAAAGGAGTAATTTTTAATTGTGTTTCTCAACCCTGGTCCTGGGCGCCCCCCAGCACTGCACATTTTGCTTGTCTCCCTCATCACACACACCTGATTCAACTCATGAGCTCATTAGAATAAACTCCAGGACCTGAAATGGGTGTCAGATAAGGGAGACATACAAAATGTGCAGTGTTGGGGGGGCGCTCAGGACCAGGGTTGAGAAACACTGGTCTAGACTGTAGCACGTATGGAGAGACACAGCTTTGAAAGTCTCACGGTCAGCTGTGTAAGACATAAAGTTTGTTCGGAAGGAAACAGCAGCGTTTTGCTGATCAATTAGTGTTCCAGACAGCTATCGACACACTTTTAGAACACAAGTATACTCTCATTTGATCATTTTAAAGTGGGTCGTCCGTCCCAGATGTCACTAGTTGTCTTCTATGAATATTTGGAAGTGTTTGTAGTTCTTCAGCTTCATCCAAATGCTTCACCAACAAATATCAGCAGGACTGCTGAGAAAACATGACTGTGCCTTTAATTCACTCTGCCATGCCAAGCAACTGATGTCATTTCACGATTGTGCTGTTTATTGACACTTTCTGGTGAAATATGTCGCATTTTCTGTATTAATAGTACTTAATGTCATATTCGCTGCACATAGTCTTACTAATGTGTTGTTGGTTATATAATCTGGCAGACTGGTTATGTAGACCTGTAACTGTTTGACTTCTTGTGTAAGAGGATTTAGTGTCTATTGAATGTGTACAAATGAGTGAATATGAACATTGTCCTGCGTCTGTGTAACAAAGGGTTTTTACCTCACGGTCAAATGCTTGAATAACTATTCATGTTAATATCCGGGTTAAATACAAGTTAAGCTGTTTGGACAGCATCTGTAGGCTCAATTCATGTCTCGGTTTGTAAAAGCAATCCTAAAAACGCACATACGGAAATGCACTTGTACACCTGGTCCATAGACTTCCACTGTAAGTGCTTAACTGTCAACTCAAACTGATGTTTGCTTTTATGAACTGAGATATGAGTCAAAGCGAATGCCGCTGATGCTGTAGATAAAGCTTAAATGGAAATATTCCTTTAAGAGCACAGATGTTGTGTCTGTGCCTCCTTTTTAATGTTCCTGTTTTTAAAAAAAGATCAACTTTATGTTTATTAGTGGAAAGTTGTTTGGTCCGAGACGTCAAATAAATATGGCTGTGTCTTACATGGCTGACCTAAACTTGATTCAATGCGTCATTTTTATTTGTTTATTTGGTGGGCTTCATTAAACTGGTCTATTCTTTTATTTATCTATTGTATTATACTTCATTATTCATTATAGTTTTTAAATGCTGAATCAGACTATTGGTACTAATTCAATTTGCCATAAAATTAGTAGGTAAACAGAACCATTACAACTACATTTTATTATATTTACAACTACTTTTGAATGAACATTTTTAAGTTTAAACCTCTCAGTGAATAAAGTTCTATATTAAAACTATACTTTTTTTTTTTTGCATTAACTAACATATTTTACACTTACAGCAAAGTATCCATATTCAAAAAGAAAAAAATATATAACTAAATTAAGTTTTATGCTTTTTAACCTCGCACTGATATAGATAAACAAATAAATTCACACTTAGAAGACACAAAATACTTAAAGAACAGAAAAGGGTAACACATTTGTCAGATTTTGACTGCTTGTTTGTTAACAGATTTAGAATTTGTATTTATATTGTAAAGGGGCTTAATATTTGTATATTTGCATGAGGAATTTACAAATAAACAAAATTAAATGTACAATAAAACATTTATCATCACTAAACTGATCATTTATAGTAACCAAAAATAATATGCTAACAAAGCAAAGAAAAAAGAACGCAAATCCGCATGAAAGGTAGTTTAAAGGTGCAAACTAATGTGGACATTTTTTGTTGCCACACTCCGATCGCCTTTAAAGGGGATGTGATGACGTCACGCGGGAAAGAAGGACCCCACTAGAATTTCGACCTTTTAATTAAAATATCTCCTCAGAACACTTATTAGCTCGCATTGTTATTCGGAAGGGACATATCATCGCCTGAGCTGTTAATACAATTTCGTACGCATCACGAATATGGTGCTGTTCGTCAAGAAAAAGGGTATTGTTATTCAGTGTCCGTCTATTCAGGCACATTTTCCAGGTGCCCTTTCTGCGCGCGGTGCATTGCGGGAGCGTCGCGTCTCTTGTATCGAGCGAAACCGGTAAGCACAAACTGAATAGCACAATTAAAGGGGAAATGGGACACGAATATAACTGTGCCACAGTGCATTACTTGTGAGGAGAGCTATCTTAATTATTCCAGTAGAAGACATAATCAGTGGAATTTGTGTAAAGTGCACCAAATAATTGTAATTTTCTATTGTTGCTCTGTTGTGCACACTGCAATCATGGCGCTGGCGCTTTAAGGGTTAATTTTTGCCACCGCCGACATTTTTATAAACACTTCGTCTGGCTTGCTTCTCATATTCATTTGATTCATTTTACTCTATAAACGTTTTCTTCTTAACATGTATAAGTTATATTGTATATTAGATGCGATGAAATGTAATCGAGCAGATCGGCGCGTGCAGCGGTCTTTAGTGATTCTCGAGGGAATCGTTCATTTGACACGATTCTTTGTAATGACTCGTTCAAACCTCTTTGCAAGCAATTGTATTTGATTCAACTGTAAGTGATATTGTTGATTTTTTTTTAAATCTTTGCATTTGTAAATGCAACTCTATAAAGGCACGCCCTTATTTTTCGCTTAAAACAATATATTGGTAATCCAGCATAACAAAAATGGATGAAAAAGAAAAACAATACAACAAACGAATTAGATTTTTTTGTCTTTTTTATGCTAATGTTCTAAATGGCACTAGAGGTATTTTTGCTCTCTTTACTGTATTAGCTAGTTTCTGAATCGCCATTATACATCTAATATATTTGTTGTGCTCAATCAAAACATTTGCGATAATGGCTCAAAACGAGTCACTTAAGCGAACTCTTCAAACGAACCGAATCACTAAGAAGAATCTGTCGTGGACAGAGAGCGCGCGCCACATCAGTATAATGCAAGCTCCAAGAACCCAAAACCCACTTATTTGCTCATAGAAATGAATTACATAATCTATTTTTTAAGCAACACATTAATTATCCCAGGAAATAAAGTCTAAATAAAGAGCAGAATGCGTTATATACGCATGTTTGGGTGTTTTGTTCTATATGCAGTAATGAGCAGGACAGTTAAACAGAAACATGTGGCCATGTAAACAAAGCAGGCTGGACAGTGAATTCAGCTCAGCAAGAGCTTTGAACAGAGCTGATGTATTTAAAGGGGAGGATCACCTCTGAGCATCAGTGCAAAGACATTTGTACAAAACATGCATTCTTTTGCATTATTTTGATTCAAGTTTGGGGTGAAACAGTAGAGTATTTATGCTATATTTATTATTATGACTTGTTTCATGTTGTTTGCACGGTCGGTCACACTTAATGTCCTCATTTTGTATCCGTTTACACCAGGGGTGCCCAACCTCGGTCCTGGAGGGCCGGTGTCCTGCAGAGTTTAGCTCCAACGCAGGACACCGGCCCTCCAGGACCGAGTTTGGGCACCCCTGCTTTACACACTTTAATGTTTGTTTATTTCTTCTTCAGATTGTCATTACCATAGTCTGAAGGTGGTGTGTTGGCCGTTACGTGTGTCAGTGACGTTTTTTAAACATGTCGGTGCGGGAATCTTTTAACCCGGAGAGTTATGAACTCGACAAGAACTTCAGACTAACACGCTTCACAGAGCTCAAGGGAATGGGCTGCAAAGTCCCTCAAGATGTGCTCCAGAAACTTCTAGAGTCCCTGCAGGAAAACCATTATCAGGAAGATGAGCAGTTCCTCGGGGCTGTAATGCCCAGATTAGGTACATAACTATACACACACTCACAACTGGAAATGAAAGTTTTTAAGATTTTTAAATGCAAAACTGTTTTTTTTTTTTAAACAGGCATTGGTATGGACACCTGTGTGATTCCGTTGAGACACGGAGGCTTGTCACTTGTGCAGACCACAGACTATATCTACCCCATAGTGGACGACCCATATATGATGGTAAGTACTCACTTTAGAATGCCATAATAGATCAAATGCATCATAAATTGAAAATTTCTCTCTATGAATTCTCTTGGTTTCTAGGGGAGAATTGCTTGTGCCAATGTGCTGAGTGATCTGTATGCCATGGGAGTAACGGAGTGCGATAACATGCTGATGCTTCTTGGCGTCAGCAACAAACTCACAGAGAAGGTGAGACAGAGGAAAAATCCTTATGTGCTAATGAGATGTGAAACTGGCTTATAAATGTACAAACAAAGGTCACCTAAAAATACAAGCTGTCTTCATTTCACCTGTGAGTAAATGAGAGTTTTTGGGTGAACTAGCCCTTAAACCTTTTAAATGCATACAATAATTAAAGCCCATTTCTAAGACCCATTTATCAACGTGATCAAAACTTTGAAAAACATGTACACAATCTACTATATGCGTTTTTTCCCCATCTGAATAATAGTTTATACTTTTTAGCATGTAAAAGGTCTTGTAGTATAATTGTAAAACATCCACCTTCAGGTTGTATATAGTTCATATGTCATTTTGCTGTGAAAATGAACTTTTGAGAAAAATCATGTTAAAATGTGGGTATCAAATATGATTCATAAGGATTTTGAGAAATGTTAATTTTTTTCATCTCTCAATCATCATTGTATTGCACTGCAGGATACCAGATGTTTGTCCTGCTCACAATAAAAACTAAAGAGCTTTGATTATAAAACTAAGCACTTAAATATAATATAGAGCAGCAACTGACATTTATATAATTTTTTTGTAAGTAGTCTGTAATACTATTATTGATTTACATTACAAGCTTTACTTTTTGGCCATATCAATTATTAGCGACTGCACCTAATTGCATGTTTCTGCTCACTTTGGGCCTTTGAATAAAATTGAACTTTTTTTTTCCTCAAGCATGATCTCCGTATTCTTACTATATCATACTGTATGAGCCATAAAGCCTGATATATCAAA